TTCTCCCTCTCCCTTTCTCTTTCTCCCTAGATAGGTTCTCACTAAATAGCCCAGGCTGGCCTCAAACTCATGGGGATCCTCCTCCTTCAGCCTCCTAAGTGCTGGGATTACAGGCATGTGCCACCAAGCCTGGCATAACCTTCTCCTCTTATAACCCAGGAGAACCCACTGTAACTCCCTTCCCCAAGGCTGGCCACCTAGGAACCATCCTGGAAATAATTGCACCAGTGCCTCCCAAGCCAGAGGCAGTGCTACAGGCCTTCCTCACAGCCTCCCCTCTCCTCTTCTTCCTCAGAGATACAGTCCCACAGTGTTTGAGAGGCATAATGTTAACCTACAAATGAAGGGCAAACCTGTGTGCCTCCAAATCTGGGACACGGCAGGTAAGTGTGTGGAGACTGTGGGATGGGCAAGGTGGAGGAGGCCCAGCCCCACTCCTTCTGAGCCAGGTATTGGCCAGCAGTGGGGCCCCCCAGGAGCCTGAGTCCTCCAAGTTCTGCATCTGTGTCTGCCTGCCTCCCTAGCCCACAGCAGCCCCCAAGTCCTGAGGCCTGGTACTTTTAAGGGCCTCCAAGCTTCTCACACTGGTGTTAGCTTCTCTAAGCCCTGCCTGACTGTGACCTCTGCCCTCTAGCTTCCTGATCTTCCCCATACAAGAGTTATCTCAAATCTAGTTGGACAGTCTGAGTCCCTCCATGCTGTCCTTGAACTGGCCTCTGTCTCGCCTCCACTTCTTCCAGAACAGGACTTCTCTGCAAATAGTCATCCCAGGCCAGGGCTGGAATATCCCATGGGCAGCGCAGGTTAGCACCACTCCAAGGGTACATCCACACAAGGCCCAAAACTAGGCCCCACCCTCCAGAAGCCCCTGTATGTTAGAAGGAGCTCTGATACTAGGGAGGTGCTGACAGCAGGCAGGGGATTTGGAAAGAGTGACCACGTATTCCTCCCAGGGCAAGATGACTATGACCGCCTGCGGCCTCTGTTCTACCCCAATGCCAGCGTCCTGCTCCTCTGCTTTGATGTCACCAGTCCAAACAGCTTTGAAAACATCTTCAACCGGGTAGGTACAAGGGCGCAGGGAGTCATGGCCCCCACAGCCAGGCGACTTTGACCCAGCCAACTGTCAGAGCTTGGCAGGCCTTAACGGACAGTGAATCTAGTGTCTTTGGTACATTTATGAGGAAACTGAGGCTCAGCAGGGGCAGTGACTTGCCCAAGGTCAAACGGGAACTTAGAGGCAGGGTCTGCCCTCTGAGCCCGAGTCCAGTGTTCCTTTCCTGCCCTCTACTGCTGTCAGGCCACTGCGGCTGCCCAAGGCTGCTGGAGGCATAGTCAGATCCCAGCACTCTCAGCAGCCTCCCTCCCACCCACTCGACTGCTGGCTGTCAGTGGCCTCCAAGATGCTCCCAGGGATGTGGGGTCCCTAAGGCTGCTCACAGGCATTAGGGATGCCATTGACTGAGTTCCTCTGCCCCAGCCATGGCACAGGCCTCCCTCGGTGCTTCCAGGGCCTCCATAGAGATGGTACACTCTAGGTGGTTCTGCCACCTGCCTTGCAAGCACAAAGTCCCAAGTTACACTCTAAGGTTCCTTGGGACTGAACCAGGGACGATTTTAGTAATAACAACTAGGGTGGCAGCAGCAACAGTTATTCAGAACTCACTATGGGCTAGCCATGGTGGCACATATCTAAAATCCCAACATTCTGGGAGACTGACGCAAGAGGGTGGCAAGTTGAAGCCCAGCCTGGGCAACTTAGTGACTTAGTGACATGATGTTTCAAAATAAAAAGATTTTTAAAAGGTCTGGGGATGTAGTTCAGTTAAAAAGCCTCAGGTTCAATCCCCCATACTAGGGAAAAAGAAAAAAGAAAAACTAAGTGCCAGGCACTGTACTGGACACTTACAAGTATTTTTTGCTCATTTAATCTCCCTAGGAACCTGAAATTATAGATACTATTATTATTCCCAGATTGAGTTTCTTATCCAAAGGTATCAATCTGTTCAAGTGGCAACTCTGGGATTTGAACCCAGGCAGTCCACCAGATACATCCATTCAGAGCTACTGAATAAGTACATCTCTGGGCCAAGCACTGTTCTGGGCATCAGGGACCAAGAGGAACAGTGCCTGGGACCAGGATGTGAACAGTGGTAGCAGTAAGAGGGAACAGAGGGAAGGCAGAGCCATTGGCTGATGGAATGGACACGGGTAGGAAGGAGAAGTTGGGACCAGACAACTGGAAAGCAGCGAGGCCCTTTCCTGGGATGAGAAGGGGCAGGCTGTGGGTGGGAAGGGGGTGGCAGTGGGAGCCTGAGCCCAGTGGAGATGTCACCCCAGTGCATATGGCCAGCAGGCCAGCAGGGGCTGAAGCCTACAAGACAAGCTGGGGAGACCACTGAGAAGCTACTAGGCAGCTGAGTAGCATACAGGGCCTGTCCCTATACAAGCACTAGGAGGCTCCCTGGGAATGAGAGAAGGGAGACCACTGTCCAAGCCCTGGGAGAGGAAAGGGGGAACTGGTAAGACCCTGGAGCCAGGAGAGCGGTCTCTTGGGTACCTTGAAGCCTTGGCCATGGAGGTGGAGAAGGCAGGATCCTGGTATCAATGCTGTCAAGGGCTCAGGTAGGAGCCTGCTGAGAACTCCCTGTTAGATTTAGGTGTTGTCACCCAGGAGCTTTCCAAGGGCAACTGTTGTGCATGGGTGGGAGTGTAGGGAGCTTGCCCGGCACCCAGCCCAGGCCTCATTTGGCTACAGGAGCCAGACAGTAGGTGCCAGTTTTCCCTGAACAGGTGTGCTCAACTGTGTGTGCACCTGGGGATGGAAAGCCCCCTCGGGAGCCCTGGTGTCCCAGCTGTGGTCCAGGCTAAAATAACCCAGCCCTGGTGGTCTCCATTCCACACAGCTGTGACATGCGATAAGGGCCCTCCCTCCTACCAGTGAACAGTTGAGGCAGACAGCAGCTGCTGCCACCATTTTGTGAGCTGATTCCCCCCTCCCCCGCTGACTTATTTTTAAATAAGCACACACTTGGCCCTGTTCGGGAGGCAAGAGTGAGAGCTCTACCTTGCAGACAGGGCTCAAGTCCTGCCATTTCCAGTTGTGTGACAAGACCAAGTTACCTAGCCCCTCTCGGTGCCACAGTGACCAGATCTGTATAGTGAGTTCAATTAGAGAAGCACTCTTGGGACCTGGGATTAGTGAGTTCACACTTGTAAATTCTTAGATTAGAGTCTGGTCCTGAGTACTTGCTCCCTAGGGGAGCAGGACAGTGGTCCCCTGAAATGGACAGGACCCCAGATGGCTCACTCGCGCACCTCCACCCCTGCAGTGGTACCCGGAGGTGACACACTTCTGCAAGGGAGTGCCGATCATTGTTGTGGGCTGCAAGACAGACCTGCGCAAGGACAAGACACTAGTGAACAAGCTGCGGAGAGACGTGTTGGAGCCTGTGACCTACCACAAGGTAGGAAGCTGGTGGGGGAGTGGGCACCTCAGGGTACTGCACCACTGTGCCATGCATGTAGACTCCCAGGGTTCTTGGAGGCTGTTAGGGGTCAGGAGCTGCCAGCATTTGGAAATGGTACCTCCAAGACCAAGAATTGTGCATGCCGAAGTTAGTCCCACAGAGGACATGCAGTGATTCCGTCTGCTTGCCTCTCTGCTATGTACCTGGGATAGCTGGAAGTTGGTCTCTTGAGAGGCAGAGACCCTGGCAGTCACTGGGGTAGAAAACAACGAAATGCATAAGAGCGTTTTAGTCAAGCTAGGGTGCAGGAACTGAGGGTACCCTGGAAAACCACCACCTCTGCAGGGCATAGTGGCCCACACCTGTATATATTCCCAGCAGTCTGAGAGGCTGAAGCAGGAGGAGCCCAAGTTCGAGTCTCTCCTAGGCAACTAAGGGAGACCCTGTCTTTGAAGGAGAGGGGGATGAGAATATAGTTCGGTGGTAGAGCAATTGTTGGATTCGATGGCGGGGTGGGGGGGACTCCACCGTTGCCCTGGAGACTACAGAGATGAGACTGCTAAGAAGAGGGGCTCGAAGAGGGCACACATGACCTGAGCTCACAGTGTCCCATGTACCTCTCTCTCGGCAGGGCCAGGAAATGGCCAGGTCTGTTGGCGCAGTGGCCTACCTCGAGTGTTCTGCTCTGCTCCATGACAACGTCCATGCCGTCTTCCAGGAGGCAGTGGAGGTGGCTCTCAGCAGCAGCAGTAGCAACTTCTGGCGGAGGATTACCCAGAGCTTTTGCGTGCTGACCTGACTGCCTCAGGGCACTGACCTACAGAGGTAGCTGGGCTGGCCCCAGTTCGTAGGCTGGCCCCACCGATCGGACACCACCAAGGTTGGGCGTGGGCCTGGGAGCCCTGGATTGAGGAAGGGGGCTCCCCAGCCCTGGGACCATCAACCAACTCCCGTCCTGGACTTTTCCTGGAGTAGCTTTGCAGCCCGACCTCGCGCCACCTCGTGGCGGTTCGCAGAGCTGCATCTAAAAGTCCTGACTTCCTTGCACCATCCTCCTGCCAGAACCCGCAGCGCGCCTCTCTCTCGTTTGCTCTACCCCACCGCTCCAGGGCTAAGTGTAACAACGGAAATCATATCACTGTGTCTTGCCTCTTTTTTCAAAGGTCTTTACACGCTTTCCAAGGTGGGTAGGCGGCACTTCAGGAGACCCTGTTGGATCCAAACTTAGTTTTCTCACTTCCAGGGCCTGGGAAAGTTCCTCATCTGTAAAGTGGGACAAGTCAGAAACTTGTTATGGGGCTTTGGGAGGAGTAAGAGGACCATGAGTCCAACAAAAGTAAAGAGCTTAGCAGGTGTCTTGCATAAAAGATACACATATCCTAGGGGCAGGGATTTAGCTCAGTGGTACTGCCACCTGCCTCTCAAGCGCAAGGTCCTGAGTTTGATCCCTGGTACCAAAAAAAAAAAAAAAAGAAGAAGATACACACATCCTTGCTTTTATTTATTTATTTATTTATTTTAGTATATTAGACAAACTTCTCCATGGGGACAAAACTAATACACGCACACACTCATACCTGCACCTATGAGGACCTGTAGGATAGGCTGGAAATGCAGGTGAATTGGTATTGCTGTCTTGAGTTCAAATTCCACACCGCACCCAGCTGGATGCTCAGGTTGCTGACTTCAGGCAGAAGGCCTTCTTTAGGAAACCTGTCTCTGAAATCCTTCTAGTGACTGGACATGGCCCATCCTCACTATGGAGGTTCAGCTCCTTAAAGTTTTGTTTGTTTGTTTTTTAATGTTAATCACATCTAAAAAAATACTACCATCTCTATAGCTACTCCGGAAGCTGAGGCAGGAGGTTCATCTGAGTCCAGGATCTTAAAGCCAGCCTGGGCAATGTAGGGAGACCCTATCATAAAAATAAAGTAACACCTTCACAGAAACATCTAGACTGGTGTTTGACCAAACAACTGGACACCATAACCTAGCCAAATTGGTGCATAAAGTTAGTCATCGCACCAGACATGGTGGCACGCACCTATAATCCTGGCACTTGGAAGGTTGAGGCTGGAGGATCACCAAGAGTTCAAGGCCAGCCTGAGCTACACAGTGAGTTCAAAACCAGCCTAAACTGCATAGTGAGACCCTGTCTTAAAAAACTAAACTTAGTCACTGTGTTTATTTCTCTACTGAATCACCTCATACTTAATACTCATTAACTCCAGGCATGGTGGTGCACGCCTGTAATCCCAGCACTTGGGAAGCTGAGGCAGGTGGATCACTGTGAGTTCGAGACCAGCCTGGGCTACATAGTGAGTTCCAGGTCAGTCTCACCTACACAGTGAGACCCTGTCTCAAAAACCAAAATAAGTAAATAAATAAACCAAAACTCATTAACCTTAAGAGGTAAGACAAAGAGAGAGAGAGATAAGAGACAATGAAGTCGAACTTATTCCTCCTGTTTATCAGTTGAGAAGACTGAGTCCCTGCTGGCACCTAGCCCATCATTACATCCACCTCCATGTTAGTACTCTCAGCCCCTTGCATGATTCCTGTATGATATCTCTAGCTCCTCATCGTGTCAGGCCATCAAAGAGCTCCTTAAACACCAGACTTTTGGAGATTAGACAACAGAGGCCCAGGTTCTCTTAGGGAAGAAACCTCAGGCAGTACCTGGGTCCCCTCTCGTCTTGATGGCATCTTGCTCTCCTACATAGGACATAAAAATAAAAAAATAAGCAATTTTAAAAAGGGGCCAGGGATTTAGCTCAATGGTTCTGCAACCTGCCTCACAAGGGCAAGGTCCCAAGTTTAATCCCCGGTACAAAAAAATAATAATAAATAAATAAATAAACATAAGACACACCGTCCCACCAAACTCTGCTCCATGCATTTCAATCCACACCTCCCAAACCTCTCCTCTGTGCAGGATACTGCATTAGGCACCTGACCTGGGTTCCGTCACTTCATTCACACTGCGCCCCTATAGGATGGGCATGATTATTGAGGATATCCCAGGAGGGTAACTCGCATAAAAATGACACAGCTAGGAAATGGTGGGTCTGATATATTAACAGAGTACTACTGACATTAAGGACAGAGGACCCTGCAATGCCACCAGGACAAGCTATATGCTTATCTAGGGTCTGGGTTAGGGACAAAGAGATGAAGGAAACAAAGATCCTGACCTAAGGAAGTTGAGGTCTTAGGCAACAAGACAAGGCTAGACTGGTAGAGTGCTTGCCTAGAACACATATGGTTCTGGGTTCTAGTCCGAGCCCAGAGAGAGAGAAGACTCACAAAAAAATGAAAAGGCTGTGCAAAGGGAGAAGGATCTTGCACCCAGAAGGCTAAGGTAGGTGCTCTCTACAAGTTTGAGGCCAGCCTGGGTTGCATAGTGAGTTCAAGACCAGCCTGAGCTATATAACAAGACCCTGTCTCAAAAAAAAAAACCAAAAAAAAAAAAACAATAATAAAGACAGACCTGTGAGAAGTTAGTGTATATAAGAATCCTAGCTGGGGCGGGACGTATAGCCCAGTGGTAGAGCACTTGCCTAGCATGCACAAGGACCTAAGGTCCGTCCTCAGAACTGCAAAAGAAAAAGAAAAAGGAAGGAAGGAAAGAAGAAAGAAAAAAAGAAAGGAAGAGGAAGGAAGGAAGGAAGGCATCATAAGAAAGTATCTATTAAGGGCTCCAAGCATGTACATTTTGGGAAATTAGCTTTCTGAGCTATTCACTCACTGGACTTGGGGAGAACAGAGAACATTCTAGCCATGGGGAAGAGTGATCAGGTTGGAAATATAGGCCAGGAAAAGTTGTTTCCTATTCCCAGCACCCTGGACTAAAATCCCAAAGAGAAGCTTGTCATCCAGGTGGCATTTTCACGTGGGCTCTAACACCATTTCCTGGCTGCAGCTCAATCCTGTGACCCAAACTGTGGGTCCTCCCTTGGCTTATCTGGTTCCCCACCTGGAGCTGTTTCAGAGAATGCTTCGGGCGGGTGAGGTGCGTGTAGCTTTGGCTGCTATTGAATGGGTTGGTTTGGATCAAGTCCACAGGCATGAGAGTCACCATTCAGGCCAAAAATGAAGCCGCTTACCCTAAGGCTGAGACGGATGAGTAGACAGCAGGGATAAGGCTCAGACCCCGCCCCAGCCAGGGAACCCCAAGGTCTCCTTAGAAAATGACCCTCCCTCAATCACCTGCAGGATTCCTAGTACCATACAGGAGACTAGATCACAGAGTGGAATTTCTTACAGAATCGTTTATTTGTTTTGTTTAGCAGTACTGGAGATTGAACCTAGAACCTCTGCCCTGAACTACATCCCCAACCCTTTTTAAATTTTTTGTTTTGGGACCGTCTCTCTCAGTCACCTACATTGGGCTTGAACTCCAGATCCTCCTGCCTCAGGTTCCCAGAGTGTTGTGATTAGAGACATGCACCACCACGCTCCCCTCACAATTCTTTTGTTTTGTTTTGTTTTGTTTTTTGTTTGTTTTTTGAGACAGGGTCTCACTATGTAGCCCAGGCTAGTCTCAAACTCACAGCGATCCTCCTGCCTCAGCCTCCCAAGTGCTGGGATTACAGGCATGCACCACCACGCCTGGCATCGCAATTCATTTTAATGAGTTCACATTTGCTTACCACATCCAAGTGCCAGGCGCCATGCCTCAGTCACTGTCCACAAAGTGTCCATGTGATCCTTAGAGAGGTCCAGTGAGAACCCATACAACCATCGCCTCACAGAGGAGGTGACAGAAGCACAGAGAGCTACATAAACTACTCCTGACCTCAAATGGAAGGGACAGGATATAAGCCCAGGACTGCCCAGTGCCAGGATGGAGGCCATAATCCCTACACTGGACCCGGCCTGTACCAAGGAGTTCATATGTTAGGGAGATGAGAAAGCCCAGAACTGTCGGGTGCTGGAAGAGCCGCCCCTCTCATCTGCAGCTCCTCACCACCCTCATCGCAGTTGTTTGAGCACAGTGGGCATGAGGCTTGGAGACCAGGTGGCTCGTCCCAAACACCAGCCAGTTGGGAAAGTCAGCGGGCCTGGTCAGAACACACAGCAGGCTGAGTGGTGCCCAAAGAACACAGCAGAGGGGGCACAGAGTCTAGACTAAGCACAGAGGGCAGAGACTAGAAAGTGTTGGTTTCTTCCCAAGCATCAGGTGTGCAACTGCTGAGGTTCTCAGACCCATTTCAGAGGAAAACAAAACCAGCTATAGAAGAGCCGTGACCTGGCTCAATGGGGACTGTCCTTGTACTTCACTGAGGGCCCGTGCTGGGAGGTTCAAGGTCAGGGAGGGGACAGTGACTCTCCAGCTGTCTGGGGGCAGGGGGGAATCAAGATGAGATGAGGGAGCTAGAGGACACAGAGGTGTGCAGAGAGGGAGGAACTGCTGGGGTTACCCCAGCTGAAAGGAAGTCCCTCCAGGGGGAGCAGAGGGAGGCAGCTCTCACACTCGAAGCCCTGTCCTTGCCCTGGTGGCTCCTAAATTTACAACCAGAGCTCATCACCATTTTCTTTCTCTCTTTCTTTCCCGCTTTCCTTCTTTCTTTCTTTTTTTTTTCTTTCTTTCCTTCCTTCCATCCTCTTTCTTTCTTTCTTTCTTTCTTTCCTTCTTTCTTTCTTTCTTTCTTTCTTCTTTCTTTCTTTCTTTCTTTCTTTCTTTCTTTCTCTCTCTCTTTCTTTCTTTCTTTCTCTCTTTCTCTCTTTTTGGCACTGGGGATCCAACTCAGGACCTTCAGCTTATAAGGCAGGCCGTGGCACCACTGAGCTAAATCCCCAGTCCCTCATCACCACTTGCAATGGCCCTGTCCCTAACTGGCAAGCCAGCTGAGAGCACAAACTGACTTACTTGTTTTGTTTTCTTCTGTGCTGGGGATTGAACAGAAGGCTTGCACCCCCAGTCCCAACTCCCTTCTTTTTTTTTTAAACAATATCTTTCTAAATTGTCCAGGCTGGGCTCAAACTTGCAGTCCTCCTGCCTCAGCCTCCCAGAGTGCTAGAATTATAGGCATGTGCCACCACGCCCTACACACACTGGGTTATTTGGAATCCCTGGTACTTCAACTGCTCTGGGCCTCAAAGTCCTGTCTGCTTACTAAT